TCATAGAAATAAATAAATAAATAAATATCTGATTTACAGTATATATTTTTAAAATAAATAAAATAATAATTGGTTACTTAATAAGAAGTTTGTGTTTAACAATTATTCTTTTATTGTTTAATATGAATTATTATTGTACAACGTAAAATCTTTCACACTATTTCGATAACAGCTTTCTTGGAATCTCGGCTGAATACGATCCAGCCAATCATTATTACTACAAAGACTGTAGAAGATATTGCTATGGAAGCAAGGCTATAAAGTGCTAAATTAGGCCTTTTCGCCAATGTTATCATTTTGATAACAAGAACGCCGTCGTTATCATATGCGGAAAACTATTGCAAAATTGGACATGAACAATAAGTTACGTTTTCAAAAGTGATATCATAAATAATTCATACATACATTCCACATTAAATATGCAATTAGTCCTTGTGCAATGGTATTTAAATTCATTATGAATAGTATCCATAATAATAATATAAAAGAATCTTGTTCGGGATCAAACCATCCGACGTATTTCTTAAGTGAATCGACAGTTGTAGGTGTGGCTAATACTTCTGTGTCTTTTTTGATAAACGAGCGAACCGCTAGGGCAAAAGGAATTATTCTTGCGTGTAATGTTACGAGCGTTAGGAAAGTGAATATGCCATTAAGAACTATTCGCGAGTAGAAAAGAATAAATCTTAAGGCGTTAACAGGATATTCCGTAGATAATGTAGGATATCATAAATTAGAGCGATCCGCTTACTTTGAGAACAAATCTCTATTACTAAAGCAGTTTCGGCTTCGTTCCTCAGTTTGACCCAATCAAATAACATTAATAGTAACGTGGCTCCTACGACTACAACCACAAGTACAAGGAACGCTATAGCGAGTGTCCTTGGATTTTTAAAAGATTTTATTATGACCTCTTTAAAATATTCATATTTTGATTTCGTTCCATGATTTATTGATGGTGGAGAATTTTGTGTTGTTGATTTTTTTTCGAAAACGATTTGCGCATTACTCGATTGTTCTAATAAAATTGTCAAATTTTCCGTATCTTGAAAAGCCATCGTTTAATATTTTATTGAAATAGAGTTGATTTCATGATTCGATTGTTACTTTTATACTTTATTGTTTTATATTCCTTCGATTGTAATTTGCTTAATTGCATATCATTTCCTTTTATGAGCCATTTATTTACATATTATTAATGATTGATCGAGTAGTATGTACTGTATAAGAACAAATTTTCCAAACATTTCCATACTACTTAAATATTAAATTATCAAAATAATAAGACTTCAAGTGACGTGTTTATGTTCAAATAAGCTGTTTAAAGGATGAGATAACTTTTACATACAACCAGATGCAAAAATTCATGGAAAGTGGTTTATCCAGAAAATTTAACTTAAATGGATGAATCCATGTATGATGACGCATGTAATCAAATTTTTCATGCATTTTATCATTATCGATGTTTTTTTTTGATTTCATTTCTCTATTATAGATAATGATTCATACTATCAATGAGTATAAACAAACATTTGTTTACAGAAAGTTTATAGATACTGGTCAATAACAAAACTTCCGATGGTCTACCCAAAACTTGGAACTTTAACAAGCAATTAAACAAAGAAAAACTCGATTAGTTAATATTAAATGCAAATTTATGATTATAATATTATTAATCATTTCTATTATTACGATTGTTAATTATTAACATGGTTTACTAATCTAAAAATTTTTTTTTTGCAAATTAGTCACATGATAAAAGGTGACGGTGCCGTAAAATATCTTTTTTTTTATACAGACATATTAAAAATAAAAAATAATAATAATATTTTTTTTTAATTACAAACAAACATTAAATGCAAGATTTTTTATTAAACAAAAGTTTATAATCATTATATTAATGATCTTTACATATTTAGTAAATTAATTATAGCCTATTGCAATTATTATATTATTAT